GGATTGTCTTGGCAATACAGGCTCTTTTTTGGTCCCATATGAACTTTAAAGTAGTTTTTTCCAATTCTGTGAAGAAAGTTATTGGTAGCTTGATGGGGATGGCATTGAATCTATAAATTACCTTGGGCAGTATGGCCATTTTCACGATATTGATTCTTCCTATCCATGCACATGGAATGTTCTTCCATTTGTTTGTGTCCTCTCTTATTTCATTGAGCAGTGGTTTGTAGTTCTCCTTGAAGAGGTCCTTCATATCCCTTGTAAGTTGGATTCCTAGGTATTTTATTCTTTTTGTAGCAATTGTGAATGGGAGTTCACTCATGATTTGGCTGTTTGTCTGTTATTGGTGTATAGGAATGCTTGCGATTTTTGCACATTGATTTTGTATCCTGAAGGATATATTTTCAATACTGGAGATAAGCTTCCCAAAGACAGTTGTGTGTGTGTGAAGGTCTTTTAACAAAAAAAAAAGATAATTTTTGAGACTTTATTCTCAGGTTGTTCTTGAGGTAATATATGTTCTTGATTCCTCCAGTATCCTAAAGTAGTTGTTCGTATGTCCATTTTAGAGCTGGAGAAATTGAACCTCATAGAAGGTAAGATTCCTGTCACACTTGTAAGGTGCAGCTGGGACTGTAGCCCAAATCAACCTACCATACCACAGTGCAGGAGCAAATTTCCAAATATCTTAGCCTGTGGTTCACTTTGTTCTCTGACCACAAGTCTCTGATAGCCTGCTGCTATCATTCATGTATAACTGGCTTGACCCGTGTGAAAAGGACACCTTTATTGTCAGCGTCATTGATGGCTTCCTATAGGTACGTCTGTTAGGAAAAAGAACTTTCAGTAGTTAATGAAAATTAGAATACAACGCTCGGCCAGGCATGGTGGCTCATACCTGTAATCCCAGCACTTTGGGAGGCCAAGGCAGGTGGATCATGAGATCAAGAGATTGAGACCATCCTGGCCAACATGGTGAAACCTTGTCTCTACTACAAAATACAAAAATTAGCTGGGTGTGGTGGGACCTGTAATCCCAGCTACTCAGGAGGGTGAAACAGGAGAATCACTTGAACCCAGGAGGCAGAGGTTGCAGTGAGTCAAGATCACGTCACTGCATTCCAGCCTGGCAACAGGGCGAGATTCCATCTCAAAAAAAGAAAAGAATGCAACCCCCTTTAAGCAAGTTGACATATCACAGCCTCCTGTTGAGAAAGCGTATGTTAAAGTTCTTGCCAAGCAGCTGTGCTGGGAAATACAAGGTGTCATTAGAGAGTGGCCCCACTTTATTACCCTAAACTCCCTCCCTGAATTCTGGGAGCATTTCCCCCACTGGACTGTCCTATAGGATACCAGCTCTTTCTTTGCACTAGCCCCGAAGTCTCAAAGGGAAATTCTATTTTAAAAACAAAAAACTAGCACCTCTTTACTATAAGACATAGGTGACTGTGGAATCTGGAATGCTCTGTGAAGGGTACTCTCTGACATCCCCTTACACCAGTGTGTTCACCAAGGGGCTCCCATACCACTGAGGCCTGTCATCAATCCCTGGCTGTTGCTGGCTCACTACCTCTCTGGCCACATACCTGTCTTGCAGAAATGCCCCAGTGATGACTTAGCACACAGAAAGAGTGCTTATGAATGCTAACATCACTGTTGCTATTACTGTTTGTCCCCTTTGATCCACTGCTCTCCCTTTGATCTGCAGGTGGCAGCTTTGGCTATCGCAAGTGGTAACGGCTTGTTACTCAAAGGAGGGAAGGAGGCTGCACACAGCAACCGGATTCTCCACCTTCTGACCCAGGAGGCCCTCTCAATCCATGGAGTCAAGGAGGCCGTGCAGCTGGTAGGTCCCTGGGAATGCACCAAGTCAGGCCCAGAGGGGCCAGGTCAGGTGTTTGGGAATTTAAAGCAAAACTTAGGCCACACAGAGCCAAGACTACAGGCAGACTTGACACTCCAGCAGGCCTGTGAGCCCACAGACTTTAGTTCATTCTACAGAGCCAGATGGGTCCTCAGTGACTTAGGAAGGCCCCTGCCTTATAGCTGCATCTTGGCACTATTTATTTACAAGGATGTCAATTAGACCTTCATTTTTTGGGTCACAAGGCAGCAGGAGTACCAGACCTAGAGTGTGAGGCCTATGTTCCTGTCATTGGCAGAGTGATCTAGGATAAGTCAGATGAGAAACTTTACAAAAGTTTGTCATAAACTGTCATGCAGTGTGTTGAGTATCAGATCATGCTGTTATCGCTGTTATTATTTAAGGGCATTACTTTAACTGACCATTTCTCATTCTCTTCAACTGTCAAATGAAGTTTGATAATAATAGCTATTACTTGTTGAGTACCTACTATGTGCAAGGCTCATTTTATCCATTAATTCATTTGATCGTCACAACAGTCCCATGAGGAAAATATCATTAATCATTAGACTCATTTTCTACATTGGGAAAAACAGATTCAGAGGTAAAGTAATTCCCCAAGAGTCACACGGTGTGTGATAGAGTTTAGATTTGGACCTAGGCTGACTCCAGATCCTTTTTTTTTTTTTTTTTTTTTGTGGCTCATTTGCTCCAACATTCCAGGATTCTGTTGGCTACTGGGAGAATGTCTACAAGCCTGCTCATTACACACTCAGTGACCAGAATCTGGTTTTTTTCTTATGCCAACATAGTGGTTGGAAAGAGCATAGATTTTAGGGATTCAAATCCCAGCTTTACCACATCCTAGCTTACACAGGTGCCCTCCTTCCTTTTCTTCCTATTGATGTGTAACATACATAAAGTATACAGATCCTGTGAACAACTCTGTGACTGTTCACACACACACATATATAACCACCAGCCATATCAAGATACAGAACAGTCCAACATCCTAGAGGGCCCCTTGTGCCCTTCCCAGTCAGTATGTAGCCCCCTTCCCCACAAACTACTTTTTTGACTTCTGTCACATTAAATTACTTTTGCCTTTCTCTTTTGAGACATAGTCTTGCTCTGTTGCCCAGACTGGAGTGCAGTGGCACAATCTCAGCTCTTGGCTCACTGCAGCCTCAGCCTCCCAGGCTCCAGCAGTCCACCCACCTCAGCTTTCCTAGTAGTTGGGACTACAAGTGTGTGCCTCCAGACCTGGCTAATTTTTGAGGTTTTTTTGTTTTTTGTAGAGACAGAGTTTCACCATGTTGCCCAGGCTGGTCTCGAACTCTGAGCTCAGGCAATCTGCCTGCCTCAGCCTCCCAAAGTGCTTGGAATGTGCCACCACGCCCGGCCTTTTGCCCATTCTTGAACTTTATATAAATGAGATCAAACAAAACAGACGTTTATGTTGCCTGTCATTCCTTCGTTACGTCTGTGGCATTGATTCCCATTGTTGCATCTAGCAGTAGTTTTCTCATGTAATCGCCATGTAGTGTTCCATTTACCTGCATGTACTACAGTTCATCTTTTCTTCTGTTGATGAATATTTAGGTTGTTTCCAGTTTTGGGCTGTGTGGAATAAAGTTGCTGTGAACATTCTGGTACATATATATATTTGTTGTAAAAGTAATATGACCTTATGGAGAAAAATTAAAAATCAAGAGAAAACAAAATGCCCATAATCTCAGTATCCTCACACAGGCTCGTTAAGTCATTCCAGTCCACATCCCAGGGTAGAAGTTGTCATCAGAAGTCATGAGAACCATGACTCCCTAGCAAGACCAACCCAACATTTCCTCAATGCTGTGAATAGAAAACCAACAGAGCAGCCACTCCCTTTTGTGACCTTCATGGCCTGAAGTAGTGTACTGCATTTAACCTCCATAGATACCCCTTTGTGCTCCTTCTGGCATTTTAAAAATTGTCTGCCCAATATTATGACTAGCAGTACCCTAGTGCTGCCTTCGCTACTTGATGCTGAGCTCTTTGAGGGCATGCCCTGTGTCCTGCATGATCTGTGATGCGGAGCACAGCACCAAATATATAGTGTTTGATAAGCGTTTGCTGGACAACTTTTTGGTTCCCATGATCGGGAGCTTAATTTTGTTTTTAGAAGAAGTTTCACAGTGTCTCACTTAGTTCTCAGAATGTACAGATGTTTATCTGTAAAAGAGAAGCTGCTATTTTCATATTTTGTGTGGTCAGAAGATGTCATCTTTATCATTTTCTTCTTTCCTTCTAAAGGTGAATACCAGAGAAGAAGTTGAAGATCTTTGTCGCCTAGACAAAATGATAGATCTGATCATTCCACGTGGCTCTTCCCAGCTGGTCAGAGACATCCAGAAAGCTGCTAAGGGGATTCCAGTGATGGGGCACAGCGAAGGGATCTGTCACATGTATGTGGATTCCGAGGCCAGTGTTGATAAGGTCACCAGGCTAGGTGAGCTGGATGGGGTCCCCTCTTTCACAAGGGGGAAATATTACGTCCTCTGCAGCTCTGGATCATATTAGTGGAAACAATTCTTTGCTCATCTTTCAGTCAGAGACTCTAAATGTGAATATCCAGCTGCCTGTAATGCTTTGGAGACTTTGTTAATCCACCGGGATCTGCTCAGGACACCATTATTTGACCAGATCATTGATATGCTGAGAGTGGAACAGGTAAGAGTTCCACAGGACTAGTACATTACTTCCTGTCTTAGAAGCCTGTGGAATTAAACCAGGCATAGCCATACCACATAAGGCAGTTTAAGAAACAATATTTTTTAATATCTCCTATGTACAAAGTTCCATGCTAAGTACAGAGGTGAGTAAAACACAACCCCCGCCCTCTAGTAGTTGAACCAAACCAATACACAAATAGCTTTATTACAAAGTGGAATGTGTTGTGTGCTAAAGAGGGTTCAAAGGTAAGACAGACCACATGGCACTATGCTGACTGAACTGTTTCTGGCAACCTTTTGTTCACCTATCAGGGTGTTCCCAAACGTATATTATTTTTTGAATTTGATTTGAAAAGATGGTGCAGAAATGTTTCAAACCAAAAACTTATATACGTTCACTGCTTGCCCCCAGTGTCTTTGGTTACCAATATTAATGTACTTAATGCAGTGATATTTGGGATTCAGTAATTTGTAGAATGTCTCCCTGGATTATGTTTTACCGTGTTGTTAAGGTTGTAAACAAACCAAAAGCCGATTAATTTCAAATATAAAGTTGTGCTGTGTCCTAAATTCATGCCTGCAAGAAAATATAATAGATGCCCTCAAGGCAAAAATGGACAATCTGTTAAACTCTCTGCGTGGATGCATTTTAAGCTTTAATTTCTGATGTCACAGTACACTTTCAGAACTATATAAAGCAGCATGGCAGTAGAGAATGTGCTTATTGGCCTGGGTTGCTTTGACTCTGAGCATGTGTCTCTTCCCTTCCATCCTTTGACTGGAAAGGAAGGCTCCAGTTAGCTTATAAATGTGGCGTGGTCCCGGTGAGAACGGGAAAGAATTGTTTTGAAAATGAAGCTGTACTCCACAGATTACAAGGAAGTTACATCACATGATCATTCATGTTCGGGGGCCTTACTTTACTTCGGTAAGGAAGCCTGTTGGTTGGGCACCTGTGTTTGCCAAGCACCACAGTGAACTGGATTAGACAGGAGGAAAGCTCTCCTTTAGCTAGGACTAAACCCTGCCCCTAGACCTAATTTGAACACGCCAGTGTTATCCTCAGTCATTAAAATGAGAATGGCCTTGAAATTCCAAATGAAAATGAGTCACTATGTGTACTTCATCCAGCACTATTGGATGGCATAAAGTAAAGCCAGAAGGATGGCTTGCACAGGGGTGGGATTCCAGTCTCCAAGGAACACAGAGGAAGTGAGATCCCAGATAGGAAACAATGGCAGGGCCTTGGGACTCATGAGGATAGGGCAGACACCACTCATAACTTGAGCCAAGGCAAAAGCTTGGTCCCAAAGAATCAAGGCATGAAGCCTGTCCTGGGGATGTCTCAGAGAACAAGGCTTAAGTGGGATCCAGCTTGTGATTGGGGCCCTCAGTGACCAGCCTCAAAATACTTAAATTCCTCCAACCAGAAGCAGGATTAGAACCAGAGCCTAGGGCTGAGCTGAACCTAGAGGTGGGGCCAGAGTGACACAGTTGTAAATCAAATGAGTAGCCAGAGTTTGAGGTGCTGAAACCAAGTACTAGGTACCTAACCAGGTACCTAACCAAGTACTGCTTACCTCTAAAGCAAACCTGGGACTTCTTCAGGGTACAGGGAATAGGAATGTATATGTGGCACCTCCCTCTTTCCATGCGAGTCCAGTGCCTAGGTACCATATGTAGGGACTGGGATCTTTATTGTTAAGTATTCATTTTAGTAAAATACCAGAAGTCAAGGCCTTACGTTGATAACCCACTGAATGCCTTGCACATTCTTTTTTATTCTTTTTTTTTTTTTTTGAGACGGAGTCTTGCTCTGTCACCCAGGCTGGAGTACAGTGGCACGATCTCGGCTCACTGCAACCTCTGCCTCCGAGGTTCAAGCAATTCTGCCTCAGCCTCCCAAGTAGCTGAGATTACCTGCCACCATACCCAGCTAATTTTTTAGTGAAGACGGGGTTTCGCCATGTTGGTCAGGCTGGTTTCGAACTCCTGACCTCAAGTTAGCCACCCATCTCAGCCTCCCAAAGTGCTGGGATTACAGGCGTGAGCCACTGTGCCCGGCCCACCTTGCACATCCTTAACGTTCAAAGGTTTCCTGCTTCAATCCCTGTTCCAACTGCCTTGAGGGCCCTTTGCTTGCAAGTGGCCGGTCAGATCATGCTGGAGGGAGGAAAGTAGGACTAGTTCTGTTGTCGAGGCCACAGGAGCCACTTTGGGCTGTGGTTTTACAGGCTCACCTTTCTGTTCTATCCTAGAGCTTGCTTATTTCAATTGTTTTTATGTTGTTGCCCCTGGACTTCCTCTGTTCCAGGTAAAAATTCACGCAGGCCCCAAATTTGCCTCCTATCTGACCTTCAGCCCCTCCGAAGTGAAGTCACTCCGAACTGAGTATGGGGACCTGGAATTATGCATTGAAGTAGTGGACAACGTTCAGGATGCCATTGACCACATCCACAAGTACGGCAGCTCCCACACGGATGTCATCGTCACGGAGAACGGTCAGTGTCCAGATGCTTCCTGCATAGTGTCTGCCTTTGCTGCTTTCTGATCCTGCTCCTCTTAGCCCCTCTTGGCCTGCAGAAAAACATCATTTGAGTAGGCTTATGGTAATGCTTAGTAGTGGTTGCATTTGGTACTTTGATGTCACAGCCGGAGGAGGCGGGGCAGGGATGATTAGCTCTGCTTTGAAGATGACTAACCCTGTCAGCGGCGTTATCATTTAATGCATGCAACAAATCTTACAAAGTAGTTAAAATAAACCCATTTTACAGCTGAGGAAACCAAGGCCCAGGAGATTAAGGGCAGAACCAACTCTGCACATTCATTCATTCATTTATTCCACAAATATGTATGCAGGGACACTCCTGGGTGTCAGATACTGGAGCCTCAGTGGTGGAGGATGCCAGTAGGGCCCCCTCGAGGAATTTACAGTCGGTTAATTGGGGCACCAGAGTAGTGCCACCCATATTAACAGCCAGCACTTACCAAGCACTCACTGTGTGCTAGGCACTAGGATGAGTACTCCCCAGGTGCTGATTTCATCCTCTCTACAACCCTATCAGCTAGGTAATGTAAGTCCCTTTTCACCCAGACACAGAGAGTTTTATACACCTGCAAAAGGTCACAAAGCTGGTGGGTGTACAGCTGGAGTTCAGGCCTAGGCATTCTGGCTCTGGAGCCCGTAAGTTGGAAGTTTCGGCAGGTCACCTGCATGGGAGATGTGGATTCCAACCCAGTCTTTCCACAACACTGTGATTGATGAAGCTGATTTGTCTTCTTCCTGTTGAGATTTTTCACAAGCCTGAATATTTAATATGTGAGAACACATGGGGAGGCCCAGTGGGGACCCAGACCCTGCCCTGATCTGTCACCAATGAATGGCTGGAAACGGGGATGTTCTCTGGGTATCATCCTGACTTGGTTTCTCTTTCTTTACCCTGCAGAAAACACAGCAGAGTTCTTCCTGCAGCACGTCGACAGTGCCTGTGTGTTCTGGAATGCCAGCACTCGCTTTTCTGATGGTTACCGCTTTGGACTGGGTAAGAAAGACTCTGGTTGGGGAGAAGGAAGTTCCTTATGAAGCACTGTGTGGTCCAGGAGTATGTTGAGGTGGGGAAGACACCTCCCCTTGACTGTCACATGCTTGGTCAAGATAAGAGAGAGAGAGAGGCTGGGCATGGTGGCTCCCGCCTGTAATCCCAGCACTTTGGGAGGCCGAGGTGGGTGGATCACCTGAGTTCAGGAGTTCGAGATCAACCTGGCCAACATGGTGAAACCCTGTCTCTACTAAAAATACAAAAAATTAGCCAGGTGTGGTGGCAGACGCCTATAATCCCAGCTACTCAGGAGGCTGAGGCAGAATTGCTTGAACCCGGGAGGCAGAGGTTGCAGTGAGCCCGAGATTGCGCCACTGCACTCCAGCCTGGGGGACAGAGTGAGACACCATCTCAAAAACAAAAACAAAATGAACAACAAAAAACCCAGACTTCTGGCAAGGTAGGATTATCAGGGAGAATAATTAATGAAACCTCCCATGAGTTGGTGGAAGGCCTATCTTCTAAGCATTTCACATGCTAATAAGGCAGGTACTTTTTTTCATTTTTCACAGAGGGAGAATGAGATTCAGAGAAGTGTAGTAACTTGCCCAAAGTCTCACAGCTGGCATTCAGACCCAGACTTGTGCAAGTCCAAAGCCTGGGTTCTCCCACTACAGCATGGGCAGACCGCAGCCTGCCTTTTTGCACAGGCTGTGCCAGAGGTACATGCTGTATCGCTTGAGAGCACTCCTTTTACAGACTTATTTCACCCACAGCCAGGTTGCCTCAGAGATAGGAAACCCCACAATGGTAGGACAAAAGAAGGTACCGTGGGCCTAAGTACCAGGATCAAAACAAACAGGCCAGCCGGAAGTACAAGGTTACCTTCTACAGCAGACTTTGAAATAAAAAGCTTCAGAAGGACATTTCTATCTCCTTCCATTAGGTATAAAATCTCCAGCCCTCTGTCATGTTGGGGTTATTTGGACAAACTCTGGTTTTCAGGGGTACCAGTATATAAAACTCCAGAACAGGCACAGTGGCTCACACCTGTAATTCCAGCACTTTGGGAGGCCAAGGCGGGTGGATCACCTGAGGTGGGAGTTCGAGATCAGCGTGACCAACATAGAGAAACCCCATCTCTACTAAAAAGACAGAATTAGCTGAGTATGGTGGTGCTTGCCTGTAATCCCAGCTACTCGAGAGGCTGAGGCAGGAGAATTGCTTGAACCTGGGAAGCCGAGGTTGCAATGAGCTGAGATCGCACCATTGCACTCCAGCCTGGGCAACAAGAGCTAAACTCCATCTCCAAAAAAAAAAAAAGAAAGAAAGAAAACCTCCAGTAATACATTTATGACACGTTTTCTGAATATTTGAGAATTATTTCAACCACTCAAAACATTTTAGGCCATGTGCAGTGGCTCACACGTATAATCCCAGCACTTTGAGAGGCTGAGGCAGGAGGATCTCATGAGTTAGGGAGTTCAAGACCAGCCTGGGCAACGCAGCGAGACCTCCTCTCTACAGAGATGAAAAAATTATCCCGGTGTGGTGGCGTGAGCCTGTAGTCCCAGTTACTCAGGAGGCTGAGGCAAGAGGATCCCTTGAGCCCAGGAGTTCGAGGCTGCAGTGAGCTGAGATGGTGCCACTGTACTCCAGCCTGGGAGAGAGTGAGGCCCTATCTCTATAACAAAACAAAACAGAAAGACACACATTTTAATCCTTCTGAACTTTTTGAGTAGATGATCTGCCTGGAGAAATAGTTCTCACCAAATTGTTAAAGATTATAAAAGGGAATTTAACTCAGTTATTCTTAGTCATTATACTATTTATTTTTAGTTCCCCATTTCTTTTATGTTGGGATTTTGATGTAATTATCACATCGCTTGCACTGATCTTTATACTCCATGTACTTGAAAAAGAAATAGCAATATATTTTTAAGGGCTGGGGCACCCAGCATTCAAATGAAAATCCAGGATGAGGGAAGAACGAAAGACCATTTCATTGTCCTTCCAACACCAACTCAGAGTGAAAGCTGGTTGAGTTAAATTCCTTGTGAAATGCATTAATGACAATAAAGATTTTATTGAGCATTTACTACATTCCCAGCACTGTGCTAAATGTGTCACAAACATGCTCTCACTTCATTCTACAAAATGAATTCTTTTTCCAGATGAAGAAACTGAGGCATGAAGTTAGGTAGCGTGTCCAAAGTCATGTGGTCTCTATGCTATTGAACCAGAATCTGAATCCTGCTGGTTTCACTCTCCTTGCCAACCACTACCCCAAGCACATCCCGCCCCCGCTGTGTCTCCTACTTGCTCTTCTCTCTGCCTGCAGCACCTCTGTCTGGTTTTCTCCAGCCAGCTCCTTCTCACTGTCCAGGTCTCAACCAAAAGGCACTTCCTTAGGGAGGCTTTCCCTGACCACCCTTCCCAGCGTGTCCCCAGCTCCACCACACAGCCTCTGTCAAAGCACCCATCACTGCACTTGAGCACCACAGGAGACTATTTACTCACCTGTCCCTTGGCTGCCTCGCCCACTATAATAACAGCTCTGCGAAAATAGGGCCTTGTATCTGTTATTCACCATTTTATCCCCAGGGCTCAACACAGTGCCTAGTACATAGTACATGCTCAGTAAAGTGATAATGAGGGAACCCTGCCTCCACTGTATACAGTGCAGAACACCAAGCCAGGCCCAGGAAAACCCCTGACGTTCCCTAGGCCTGAGCTGGGAGCAAGAGGAAAGTGAATGAACAGTAACCCTTTGATGTATTCAGTAACTGTCTAATGAGTCCCCTGTGCTAAGACTTCTAGGGGATACCGAGAGCATGTCCCTTTCTTTCTAAGATTTAAAGAGTATTTGAGGAGGAGGTGAAACCATTTTGGTAAATGTTGTCGTACCCCCAAAACATGCTCAAATGTCAAAATATGGTATGCAATTCAGATGCTAAACTGATATCAGAGACAGCACTTGTATTAATAGCATTGTCAAAATGCACTGGGGATAAAATACAGAAGAGGGGTTCACACACAGTTTCACGAGAAGGGGTGTATCATGATTTATAGTAATTGGAGGACATGTTTATGGGAACAGGATGACTCAGCTGTCCTGGGGAGGATGGGTGAGGAGTTAGCAGGAAGAGAGGGTACCAAGTGAGGGGGAAGCAGCAGGGTGGGTCTGGAGCATGGACAGGAAGCAGAGGCTGGGAAAAGCTACATCTTTTATTCATGCTTTTTCACAGGAGCTGAAGTGGGAATCAGTACATCGAGAATCCACGCCCGGGGACCAGTAGGACTTGAGGGACTGCTTACTACTAAGTGGCTGCTGCGAGGGAAGGACCACGTGGTCTCAGATTTCTCAGAACATGGAAGTTTAAAGTATCTTCATGAGAACCTCCCGGTTCCTCAGAGAAACACCAACTGAAAAGAGCCAGGAAAACCCGGGAATGTTCCAAAAGGTCTTTGCAGTTAAACTTGTCTTATCTCAGGAGAGAGCCCACTCTTGTCTCCTAGTTCCTGGTAGGATCTGCCTGTTGGAAAGTGTACTTGGATGCTTCTGGGCTCCGTTTGGCAATAGCAGTCTTGGCTGATGGGCGCAGTCTGGCTCCCAGCTCACCCTTTTTTTTTTTTTTTAAATAAGAAAATAATTGCTACCAATAGAGACTTTGCCAAGTCCAATTATCTTCTAGGATTGAAAGGTGCATTTTCCCCATATAAAAGGCGAGGAAAACCCATGGCTGCTTTGTATTACCTCAATGAGTTACAGCCCCCCTTGGCATTTAGTTGGTACTAGAGCCAGTCATCCTTAACAAATCTTTTCACATTTTATTTCTTTCACACATAGTCATCTTCAAAAAGGAAAAAGATTTGGAATTTTAGAAGAGGGGCAACTCTTCTTTTTAGCATTCTCATCAGAAAGTCACAAAAATAGACGGCATCATTTCCACTGGGAAGATTGACCTTTTGTATTTATTTGTGGGGTAAATTAATAAGCATTGCAGATGCTTGCAGCTTCCTGCATCCAGGAGATGCTGTGTTCCCCGTGATGCAGCTGGAAGCTGAGCTGCAGACAGGAGGTGCGAGTTTCAGGATGTTCCCCACTGAGCCGGAGGAATAGCTACGGCAGTGATGCTTGAAATTTTTGTATGAATTATTTTGTCGTCCTACCCTTTTCCTCCAAAACAAAAATTAGAGGATTATTTTATTACTTTGGATTCTTCCCCTCTTTTTGAGAAATAAAGTTTTTTATGAAAAGCCTGTGCATGATTAAAGTTTTCTCCCTTATTTGTCATTACCCCCTTCTTTTTCCTCTCTTGTGACCCTTGTGCCCTGCTTGCGGGCATGTTCTCTTCTCTTAAAGCTGTCTGGGGAGACAAGACATCTGCCTCAACAGTGTTTGTTGGTGGAAGCAACATAGGCAAAACCCACAGAGGGACTCAGACGGGGAGAGAAGAAAGGAAAACAGGAGATTAAGCCCCAAGAGCTTGAAGACTAAAAGTGCGGTGAGGGTCTGAAGTTGGTGGGGTCCGACCTGAGCGAGCTCCCACGGTGGCACATAGCCCCAGCTGACATCCTTAGTTCACTGCATCCCCCAGCTCCTCCCTGCCCGTCTTGTTGCCTCAGGATCACCTGACAGTTCAGACCCTCCCCACTCTCCCTCCATTTAGCTCCTGTCCTTAGGGCCCCTGGTGCCTGACAGTCTGCAGTTGAAAGATTTCTTGTCTCATGGGGGCCTCCTAAAGAAGTAAGCACTCGCTTACAATGCTGCTGCTTTTCCTCTGGGGATGTTTCACCAGCACAAGAATGATGGTGTCGTGTGGAACATGTTCCCAGGCTGGCTGCACAGCCTGCCTCTCATCTAGACCCTTACATGGTCTGGCAAGTCACCCTGACTGCCCTGCCCTCTGGATGGGAAGTTCTGGCATAGCTTGCCTGAAAAGGCTATAAACAGCCCTGCCTGAAACTGTCACAAACACCACAATGAGCTCCCAACCAGACAACAAATGCCCAGGTATCTTAAATAGAAGGCAGCCTAAGAGAGCTGGGGCCCTTGGGGAAGACCACTGAGAAGGCAGGCCTGCATCTGGGCCCTGAGAAAGACCACTATCATCAGACAGAAACCCCAAGTTTCACTCATTAAACTGGCCTGCATCAATCATTGCTGTAAATGCACACATTGAGTTTAACTGCATCCCACAGAAACTTCAAAGAATTGGGGCTTGAACTTGATCATTCCTTTTTCTCATGTAAAAAGAGCTCTGGAAGGAGGCAGCTTCAAGGCTGAGGTAATGCCTCCATGAAGGCCATCAGGCACTGGGGCTGCTTTTGGTTTATGCTCTTCTGTCCTAGGGCAAGGCTCTTGTCCACATGGTAGTGGCATTCCAACCATCAGGACTGCATTCCAGCCAGCAGGAAGAAGGAAGAAGCATAGGCAGAGGAGTGTCTGCCCGCTGCCCCTTCTAAGTGACGTTCCAGGAAGACCCCCGCAGTGGCTTGACCAAAACGAGCTCATGGCCTCCCTTCTCCAAAAGGGATCTGGGAGGTGTAGCTTTTTTATTTGGGCACACTGCAGCTCCAAGAAAGTAAGGGTGCTATTGGTAAGGGAGGAGGAAAATCAGATAGGGGAAGAAGATTATCCTAATTGATTCGTGGAGCTGAGAGCAGGATTCATTCACCTAAACAGTATGGCTGCTGGAGAACAAAAGAGGGCTGGGATGGTGGCCAGAGAGGTAGCCACAATGTCCCACTGCACTGCCTCACAGAAAGGAAATGGAAAGGAGAGGTGAGCAGACACTAAAGATTCATGGTGCTATTTGCAGCCCAGTGTAATGGAGGGAGCACTGAACTGGGACTCCAGAATTTTTTTTCCAGCTCTGTCACTGACTGGCATTATGACCTTGGGTAACTAAACATTTTTGCCTCAGTTTCCACACTCACAAAATGGGAGCTTGGATAAGCTTCCTAGTGAGATGGGGGTATGGGAGGCTCTTCATCACTAAATTGCAAATTAGCTGAACAAAGTTTTTTTTTATGTGACAGCCATAGCTGGCCAAGTCTTTGGTAGGCATTGAAAGCTAAACGCAACATCACTGACCCGCTCTTCTCCACGCACACACACCCCTCTGCTATTTGCTGGATTTGTGGACCTCAGACTACTTCAAACTGTGGTTCAAGGATCATTGTAACAGAATGACTACAGAGGCTAGCTAAAACTGTAGATTCCTGCACCCAGATCTGCTGAGCCAAAATTTCTGAGGATGGGGCAAGGAATTGGAATTTTTAGTAAGCCCCTTATGTGATTTATCCCAGCATTACCACTACTGTAAGTAACCTGAGAGTTTTGTTTTTCTTCCATAATGAGAAGTCCAGAAGTAGCTCAAGACCAACAAGGCAATTCTGATGCCATTAGGAACCCAGACTCTTTCCAACTTTCAGCCCTGACATTCTTAACTCCGCAACTTCCCTTGCACCACGATGGCTGTTCCATCTCCACACCTGTGTTCCATCTATGTCCCAGTCAGGAAGAAGGGCAGGGGAAAGAGGCGTGCACAGCTGAGTTCGCCCAACACACCCACATTCAAAGAGCTTTCCTGGAAGCTCCAGTCAGTCACTTCCCTTATATCTCATCAGGAGGAACTGTTTCTTGGGGCCACGTGAACAACTATAGCTGCGAGGAGGCTGGGAAATAGAGTTTTACAGCTGGGCACATTCCTGCTCAAACAAAAATCATGATCCTCTTTGTGAGGAAGAGAAGATAAAAATCAGGTAAGCTACTACATTAGGGGGTAGCCATGTTAGGTACAGTTACCCCTAGTGACTTTCCAAAGAGTAGATTTTCTTGGAAGGCTCTCTTATTCCCTTGAGCTCATTGATAAGTTTTGTAATGCAGGTTTATATGGAAAGCTAAAGTGCTCCATAAGAGACGGAGAAAAGACAAAATTCCCAGGCAGTTTTGGAGAGGAAAGAGTAAGTCGTAGGCCGGTGCAGTGGCTCATGCCTGTAATCCCAGCACTTTGGGAGGCCAAGGCGGGTGGATCACCTGAGGTCAGCAGTTCAAGACTAGCCTGGACAACGTGGCGAAACCTTGTCTCTACTAAAAACACAAAAATTAGCTGGGCGTGGTGGCAGGCGCCTGTAATCCCAGCTACTTGGGAGGCTGAGGCAGGAGAATCTCTTGAACCAGGAGACAGGGGTTGCAGTGAGCCGAGATCGTGCCATTGCTCTCCAGCCTGGGCGACAAGAGCGAAAGTCCGTCTCCAAAAAAAAAAAAAAAAAAAAAAGAGTGAGTTGTAGACTTGCCCTAGGCAGAGGCTACTAACTAAGGGTCAGTAGGAAATTAGGCTAAAGAAAGCTAAATGTACGAAACAAAGTATAGGAAAAGCCATCTGTTTTTAAACTGATGGCTTGATGGAGGTTGTTATGTTGTTATGGACTGAATGTTTGTGCCCTTCCCAAATTCCTCGTTGAAGCCCTACCCCTCAATGTGATGGTGTTTGGAGACGGAGCCCTTGGGAGGTAATTAGGGTTAGATGACGTCATGAGGGTGGGGCCCTCATGGTGGGATTGGTGCTTTCGTAAGAGATGGCATGTCTCTGAACAAACTGTTGGGTAAACATGTCTCTCAACAAACTGTTGGGTAAAAAGTAAAATAAGAGATACTAGAGACTTTGACCTCCCGTCCTTCATGTGAGGACACAGTGAGAGGACAAAACAGTCTCCTGCAAGCTAGGAAGCAGGGCCCTCACCAGGAACTGAACTGGCCAGCACCTTGATCTTGGACTTCCCAATCTCCAGACTGAAAAATAAATTTCTGTTGTTTGATCCACCTAGTCTATGATATTTTGTTATGGCAGCCCAAGCAGAAAAAAACAGACGTAATTGTCTTGGAGGTACCTGCATTTTAGAAAAGGAGTCCTAATATTTCAAAGAATTGGCCAGAGTGGCATAGCGGAAAGAGTATGCATTTGGGAGTGATATGACTTGCACTGCCATCTATAAATTGTAGGAACTTGCAGGATTGTTTTTTGCTGCAATGAGCCTCAATTTCCTTATTTGGAAAAAAGTAGACAGCTAATACTTACCTTGAAGATTCCTGTCAGTAAATAATCAGTTCATGGACTGGACACCTAGCTCATGGAAGAAGCACCATCCATGTTGGCCACAATTAGCCACATCTGGTATATCTGTCTTTGTATCCCCCACTGAGCCTAGCAAGGCGTAATGCACACAGATGTTTACTGAGTAGCTATTGAAACAGGCTACTTGGGCAGGGCTATTGAGGTGGAGGGGGCTTTCTCTGAGATCCATGGACCATTAGGGACGCTGGTATGAGGCTGGCAGTCTAAAACGATCATGTCTTCCCTGACTCCAACTTATTTCTAAACCATTGAGGAGTATCATTGTTCTCTCTTCCTTATGAAAGTGCCCCGTGGAGTCTCCTGTAGTAGACATTGAGTTAAATGTTACAATGTCTTTTTCACTGGCACTTCTGGCAAAAATCGATGAATAACTTCATAACCACTCTTAAGGGCACCTCATGTAAGTTTGCAGATCTCTGCTCTTTTGCAGAACTCTGCTATTAGTGAGAATGAGATTTTAAAGCCTCATTCAGTATCCAGTGAGCACCCACTACGTGCCAGATGCTGGAGATGAGACATTTCCTCCACCTGATGGTTCAAACGTTGATCTGAGAATTGCTGCTCTAAACTCAGGTAATTCTTATCCTTAACTCCTGCCCTTTACTGCCTATTTTACCCTACTCCCTAAGAGAAATCCTTTGGCCAGTAGGAAAACACCAAACTAGACAGATATGATCCCATGCTGAAGGAAGAAGGATTCACCATAACCTAAGAAAATCAACTCACTCTTTATTCCATCTGGCCCCAGGATTCCTCTAACGCTAGAGGGCAGTCGGGTCCCATAGACCTAAGGAAGTCGGCCTGCTCTTCATCAATGCCCAGCAAATTATCCCCTCCCCGTCCTCAGGCTGCTCTCCTGGAAATGAAGTGCTGATCAGTAAAATAACTTCCAGAGATCCTCTTACCTACAGGGTAAGAACACAGGCCTTTTCAGTTTAGAGGCAGAATAGGGTTTGGACCTTGATTCTAACACCTACTAGTTGTTTGACCTGGGGAAAGTGTCTTAACTTCTCTGAATTTTGATAATATGTATCCATAAATGGTTTTGCGAGAGTAAATGTAAAGCACTCAGCACAGTATTCAGCATGTGGTTAACCTTCAGTAACTATTGGCTGTTAC